TGACCGACAAAACAATCGACTCGATCCCGGATCCGGTCGACTAAATACGAAACGACTCCACAGCCGAGCCAACACGCTCTCCTACAAGTCTACAACCAAAGTACCGTACAACGTACAACTAACTAAATGTCTTCATGACAATAAGACGGGGAATCTAAATAGAAGTGAACGCAACCCTAACGTTACCGTACTGATGACAGATTGAGTTTTATGTTAATTGAAGTAATAATAGGGGTCGTTCGACACAACTCAATATAGCAGCTGTCAATTGGCCAGCAAACATTTCGAGTGGAATAATATTCAGTTACTCAGCCAAATTGCAAAACCGTTAAATAAGTAACAGTAAACATAAACTGTGCACGCCGAGAACGGAGTGGAAGCGAGCGGAGCGTGAATCGTGATAACTTACAGATCGCTGCAATTAATGTTGAATCAATTTGCTTTGCAGAAGCGAATATTTATTATCGTTTCAATTGTTCATGACATAATAAACGAGGACGTAACAAACCGCAGCCGAGTATAATACGAAGCGGAAATAATAATGGCATTTGTTAGAGCGCGCTGTCGGCGCCGCGGGCCTTGCCCGGCCTCACATCCTAATTACGCCAATAATAATTACACAGTAGCCGCCGGCAGCTGGCGCACCGCTCCTCGCGCCCGCTGCCGTCTTCATCTATACCATTATGAACTTCCAATACAGACAAACACTTTATTGTCTACTCCTCATAGTTCTCGTTCAGGCTAGGAATTAATTTACTAATCACATACTTCCACGTATTAATGCCCCAGGCTACGTATGTCGTAACTGAGATCAAAACGATTGTCTGCTGCCTCGTATAGAGCAGACATAAAGTTTTACAACACAGCTATTTCTATGGCGTATCCTGCCGACACGATCACTGTGAACGAGTAAAATAATGATGGTTGCTGCATTTATAGTAATTATTGCGATTCGTTCCACCGCGCGCCGCCGTCCTACGAGGGAGTTATGGCGAGGTACGATAGCCCATTTATTTTATCGCATCAATCAATTACTCCGTGTATAGGTTATTAAAATTTTAATTCACGGCTTCAAGTCATGGAGTTTGGCTGAAGCAATAACGCTTTTTTAAATGAATGATGATACGCCCGAAGCGGGTAACGCGATACATGCGTTCGACGTTAAATAAAGTTGTTGAAGCGCAAAATTCAATGGAATTTATCACTCACGTCAGAGACGGTTCAATTTTGCAGATTCCACTCGATACATTATGCACTAGCGCCCGGCGCTGCTTTTTTGGATATTCGCGTACAGGCAGATTTTATGTAACTGTGGGTTAAACAGTTCAGTCAGTTGACAGTGTTTGTTTAATAAATACATATAAAATATGATGAGACTGGCCAGAAGATAAGTGCTTTTGTGGTTATTTCCGTAAGAGTTATAGAAGCAAAGAACATAAAGCGTTGTTCAATCAGTGGCACAAGACAGAAATTGATTTTCCAATTGGCGTGACTTGCGGCACAAGCTCAAACATATTTATTTAATGTAAGCGGTGAGCTTGGCAGCCAGTTAGCAGTTAGTTTAGTGAGAACACTGATCAGCCGGCAATCAACATGTAAATTTATTCAGAGCGATCGGTATAATCGAGCGCTGCGGTGCTATTAACCTCATTTGTGACGACATATACATGTTAAATATCATGCTCCCCTGGTCACTTTGATAGAAATTATATTAATTTATCACATCGACCACGGCTATAAATTAATCCTGCTGATCTCTTTTTTATTGTGCATAATCATAGTTCTTCAAAATTGATTTTAATGGATATAAACAAAAAATGTATTGGAGTTATTGATTAATTCTTCGATTTGGGTCAGTAACACGCATTTTATTCCAGCGAGTGTTAGTACATAGAATCATATAATATGGCAATCTCTTTGTAATAGTAAAACTAATAACTAATGTTTTGACCGATTGGTAAACTGATAAACTGGGGAACTTATACACCATTTATTTTGTACACAAAGATTGTATTTTTGCCTAGTATTTATTAGAGCGTAATTATCTAAGTTTATACTCGTTACATTAAATACATGTAAAAACGAAGTGTAATCTGTTTTATGTTAATTTAAATCAGTTTTATCACCATGTTTTGCCAACTTACATACAAAAATTTTAATTATAACATTTTATTTTATTATTTTTTTTATTGCGCTGTGGAATCTAGTTTTTAAGATACTTAATATTGTCAGATATCTAATTAGCCAGACAATATTTTTTGTTGTATCTGGTATACCTACATTTTTTTTTTCTATTAAATAGGTAGTAGAATAGTAGTTATTGTGTGCTACACTATACATAATTTTATGGTTAAAAAAGAAATGACGAACGAACTAGAATAGTATTCTGTTGCTCGCTTATAGGTTTTTTTTTCAAAGTTGATCTTTCACATCATTAAACGTTAACAATTATTTCAATTGACATGAATTTTAATAGGGGAACGATATGAAACGCGTTTTGTCAGTTTAAAAGGCGCATTACTGCAGCGAACGCGCTTGAACCAAACGAATTGAAAATTATTGACGAGGGTATCACCCCTCATCTGAGGTTCGGTCACAATAATACTGTATTATACGACAGTTAAGTGGCAACACCAGACAATGGTCAGGGTAACCCTAGGCAAATAAAGAGGATTAACTCAACATTCAACTCTCACGTAACGGAATTAATACCATTATCGTGTGAAACGAATCGAGAATACATATTATATATTTACATTTATATTTATTATATACCAATTAAACGATTGTCTTTCACTGTTTCATATAATGTTAAAATCCGTTGAAAACAATTTATCGTTCAACAAAAACACTTCAAAACTATTCCAATACAACATCGAAGCTTTATAAGTAAAATTTCAAAAGAAATTCAACGCCTCTCTGTTTTGCGTCAAGTTTGTGTTGTACGCCATCATATTTTTAATAAGACTAAGTGGATTAAATCTTTGAACATTGTAAGACTGGAGTAAAGACTTCAAAATTGATATCTGGTCTTTAATTATCACGCTGACAAAGTTTCCCAGTTAGGGGGCGAACGTTAAATTGATTCCACGGGCACTTTAGAAATTTTTAGAGCTCCGACAGTGATTAATGAATGGAATTTTAGAGACTGCGATGTGTTCGGGACCCTCCAGCGAATAATAACAAGAAAAGCGAAAGGGAGCGAGTCCCTTCATCTTAGATTCACCCCATACATTTATGCGACGCAGTAATCTTGCTTGAGCCATAAAATATTGCGGACGCGGTATTGCTCAAGCAGCTGTCGTTGATAAACTTTAATGTAACAAACTAACCATAATTTGATGTGGTTGAGCGTGATGAGTTCATACGAGACGCGTGGTTTGCATAAACCTTTGGCAATACCCCGGAGTCACGTCGCCATGATTAATGATGCGTGTCGTGCATTCGCTTAAGCATTGTGAAAGATGTTCATTGCATGCAGGTGCACAAGCCGACGAGGATTCTTCATTGGAGGTATTTTATTAACGGAGTAATTTTACTATTTTATTGGAGGCAGGGAAAGCGGCCGGTGATTACGAAGAGTTAACGAGCCGATACCCATTACTTATACCGTTCTGTATGTGTAGCGCGCACGACATTAACTCCTTGATACTTGTTTGTGTAAAGACCACCGCCGGGCTAACTTTGCAGTTCTATTATCGCTTTCTAGTCATAAACACGTATTCTTAATTTATTAATTAAGGACATGCTGTTGTCAAGAGATTTTAATCTTTAATCTGATATGTTCACATATAACAAGTTAACAATTCCTGTTTATGTAACAAAACAATCTCGAATGCAGATCAAATTATACAATGTACATCTCTAGATTCCAGTGTCGGTAGATTGGTACTGTATAATTTGGCTTCAGCAATTCTGCATCGAAGATACACAGCCTTATTTGCCACGGAGCCCACAATCGCATTAATTTGTGGAGTGCAGCGGGTATTGTGACGTCGGCGGGGTGCGGGGCGGGGGCGGCCCGCTCGGGGTGATTTAATGAACCGATGCGGCAGGCGACAGGCCCGGATTACACCCCACGACCGTTTGCACTCAATCAAGCTCGCAAACAGCCCTAAGCCCGGACAATTAAATACACTGTTCCGAAACAATCGGATACACATGCGATAAGAGCAATCGGACGATTAGCGCACGATTATCGTTATCAACGACGATGGGTGATCGATAGATTATGAAAGTCTAAACTTCTCTGTTATTATGATGGTTACATTATTTGCAAACAGTCAACGCATTCTTTTAAGTCAATTATTATTTTAATTTGTACAAACACAAGATGGAAGCATTAATCTCTAAATAGTTTTCCCAAAGAGCTGATGTCATTCAAACGATTAACTAAAGATGGGTTTGTGTACTGGCTTTGTTCATGATTCATTAAATTGTTATTATGCGAAATAATAAGAGTTGAACTGCGCCAACATCCAACAAAGAGGCTTCAAATAAGCTTTACAGGAAATGAATCGTGTCTTAGGAAAATGCACGGACAACTTTAGCGGAGTACCTTGCAACCGCAATAATGTTTAGCGTGGGACAATACCAGCTGCTTGTGAACTATAACAAAGCCTGTGGAAGGGTGAACACGGACACATTGGACACGCGTAGGTGTAGCTTAGCTTACCCGGTTTGGGCTCAATGAACGTAAGCCGTCAATTTATTGTAAATTGTAATCGACAAAATATGGAGCCCATCTATGAAAATTATCGCGCAGTTTAGGTGTAGGTACTAGTTTGATGGGACATTGGTATAAATTTAATAAGAGTAAACAATAGTAACTACTAATACATTTTACTCTTTTGAAGAGAAGTCGATGAAGACATCACATGTCCAAAGACCAATGAAAGAGTGTGCAACAATGCTCAGTTGTGTTTGTGGTTTTTAGCCATTGGTGCATCAGACGTTCTAATATGGGCATTCAAGCTAATTAAATTTAAATTAGTAAGTACCTTAGGTTCAGTTTTTTGTTTCTTGGTTGGCGGCTGCGAACTGTGTGTTTCTTGCCGCGAGTCGTCAGGTTCAGGTTTGGAAGGTGTCGAGGGTGCATGCGGCGCATGCGAGGTATGATGTGTGTGCGGCGGTAGTTGCGCGGGCGCCGGCGCCGGGGGCGGCGCGGGCGTGGGCGCCGTAGGCGCTGGGGGCGCTGGCGCGGGGGGCTTATTATCTAGTCGGGGCGCAGGCGCGGGCCGCGGCTCCGGCTTAGCGGCGGGCGCGGCGTGCGGCGCATGGGGGGCGTGGGGCGCGTGCTGCGCGGGCGCGGGCAGGGCAGCCGGGTGCGCCGGCGCCGGCGCGGGTGGCCCAGGCGCGTTGGGCGGCGGTGGCACGCGGGCCACGCCATTCACATCGTGCGGTGGATGAGGGTGGTGGTGCTTGTCTCGCGCCTTATCTCTCCGGTGCCCCCCAGAGCCGCGCTTGGCGGCGGCGGGCGGCGCGGCTTGCGCGGGCGCCGACGCCTTCGGTTCGCCGTTCATTTCGTTTGATTTGACGATTTCGTGCTTGGCTTCGGAACTTTTAGTGCCAGGCTTCGTGCGCTTGATCTTCATCTTGAGCGCGGTGCGCTGTGCGTCGGGTTCGGCGCGCGCCGCCATGCCGCCCGCCTCGTCTGTCTTCTCTATGTCGGCATCGAGGTCTATGATGAGGTCGCCGATGCCGATGTCCCACTCGTTGTCATCGTACTCGAAGTTGGCGGGGTGCGCGTGGGGCGCGGGGCGAGCTCCGCCGGCCGGCGCGCCCTCCCTCATTGGCGCCGCCATGCGCGCCGGCTGCCCGCGCCCGCCCCCCGCTGCCCCGCACACGCACACACCATTGTAGCCCTGCAACAATTATCTCATCTCATCTACTCTTCGACAACAAGTGTTTCATTAGATGAGAGCCATCCTAACAGCGTTAGACATCGCGGTCGCGACTGGATTGCTCAGGTAGACTGAGTAAGAGAATGTCTATTATGTAAACCGGAAAATAGATACAAAATACTATAATAGAATTTAATAAAAATCGTTTTATTCATACGAAATATAATAACTTGATAACAGATCTATAGATGGATAACATTTCAGTTGATATACCTAATACTTAGAAATGGAGATTTATTTTCGCGATAGATATTGATCATGGGCTCGACGGAATGATTAATTAATTTTTTTATCGACGTAAGGCTCACAGTGCCCGGTGCGACGTGGAAGATGAAATTTGAATAACAGCACGGCGAGCTCACCGGCTCCGTGGCTATAAAAATTAATACAGCGCCGTAAAAACCACTTAAATGAACATGTCCATTTAAAATTATTCCTTTATAGAAATTTAATATCGTACGAAGTTATAACCAATTCAAAGGGGCAATAATCGTAAAATAGTCATAAAACAGCGTAGATAAGCCCGGTTACTCTCACAAAGCGTAACATAAACCCGGGCTAGGTGCGTACTTAGTGCCACAACCATGCGTATTTATTGCAATTTACAACTGTGAGCATTAGATTAATAGAAGATGCAAACTGGCACGGGATTAGCGTTTGCACGCCGGTTATGACTAAAACATTTCAAATTTACGCAAAGCCCTGATGCTTAAACTCACTATTTTATGACGAGAATTTTAAAAGCTAAACAAAATGTACGAACGTTTCGTGCCAGCGTGCCATTTAGAAATCCATTATCGTGTTATCTATAGAACTGGGACTGTTTTATTTTATCACACACCCTTCTAACACCGGGACTCGAAATGTTATGGTTCGCCATGACTGGCATGACAAATACACGACATGACACCGACCATAATTATGTGCGAGTTATGTTAGCATAACGAGGCGACGACGTCACTCGCGACTAAATACTACTTATGCGTGTTAAACATTCCTGTTTACAAATCCCTTCACTAATTCAATCAATAAATCTTCAATTTAACTGCAGTTACTGAGAGCTACTATTCAGCAATACTCAATTTGATAATTGCTATAAATTATGATGTATATATAAACAACGGCTTTGGTTAACCGTATACATAAATGTAACATAATTTAAATGGCTTTAAACATGGCTCGCTTTATGACCGAATAGAACAGTTTCTAATTTAATAGGAAAACAGCGCAATGGGGGTGTTGTAACACTAGGGTTGACTACTACTTATCAAACTGATTAGATTATACAGTATTACCAGATAATGCAGTCAATTTGATTGATGAACGTGGCATATTAGGTTCACAAGTAAATATTGCCTATCGATATAAAGTACTACTACTACACTACCTATGAAAACACATTCTGAAAACAAAGAATCAATGAAATGAACAGTTTTATAGCTGTACTTTTCTATTACGTTATCAGAATGGCAAGTAGCATGGAAACTAGAATAAGTAAAATGTAGAAATAACACACAAGATTTCCTTTCTAACATTTTTTCTCGGCGGTATCGCTATGTCCCCAGGCACTTTTCGAAAGTTCTAAGTAGTGTGGAAAACTTTATATATGGCAGGCAACCCTACATAGACCGGGCAGTTTATAGCGATGGCGACGATGCCGGCTTTACTGCGCCCTTTTGATAACTCCTCGTAACTTTTTTATGACGCGCGTGCTTATGCGAGCCTGGTACAAACGCTTCAGCATTTACTCGAGAAGTACCCTGCTTGTATATGAAAAACATGGTGAAAATATCTTAAGAATATAGAAACTTATGCAGTAAATACTAATGCACGTTTATTGTTCCTTCAAGGAAGAATGAATTTTATTTTGTAATGGTTAGGACTAAAAATGCAAATCGTTGTTGCTTTACTAAAACCTGCGAACATCACAATGTCATTGTTGTCATTGAAATCTCAGGTCTACAAAACAAAGTAGAACAAATATTGTTTAAACGATAAAGCGAATGACTCACGCACGCCCGGGGCATTCCACTTTGCGCACCTAAATGAAGCGCACCCAGACGAAGCGCACCTAAAGTATTCCACTTTGCGCACCTGTAGGTGCGCTTAAAATAAAAATTTTAAATAAATAGTTTTTCTATTCCACGAAGCGCACCTACGAATATCACTCGCATAGTGCGGAGACTAAGAAATAAAAATATCGATATAAGAACATATTTATTATTTAAAAGACTAACTTAAATACCTAACATCTGTCAATTTCATTATAATAATGTGACACAATATTGGTCATTTTGATTTTGTAATCTTACTATTTAAAATCACAGATTGTTTCATAATTACAATAAAAACATGGACAAATATGAAAAAACATTGTAAATATGGTTTTACATAAAGATCTGTTGAAGTTTTCTTATAGCTACATGTTTAGTGAACAATAAAAATACTCTACTTTAACATAAAAAATCACAGATTGTTTCATAATTACAATAAAAACATGGACAAATATCAATATTGTGTCACATTATTATAATGAAACTGAATGATGTTAGAAATTTAAGTTAGTCTTTTAAATAATAAATATGTTCTTATATCGATATTTTTATTTCTTAGTCTCCGCACTATGCGAGTGATATTCGTAGGTGCGCTTCGTGGAATAGAAAAACTATTTATTTAAAATTTTTATTTTAAGCGCACCTACAGGTGCGCAAAGTGGAATACTTTAGGTGCGCTTCGTCTGGGTGCGCTTCATTTAGGTGCGCAAAGTGGAATGCCCCGCACGCCCGACATAATGGCAGTGGAATCTCTAGTCTATTTGTACTCCTTAACTTATTGAAATAGTATTTCGATTATTGTAGCCCAACCTAGTGGCTTCTAACAAATTTAGATTAGTTGGAGAGGTTAACAACAGTATTAGTTACGGCCCTTTATGTAACTCTTAAGTTACTAGATCCTCAGGGAGTAATGGAGGGAACTCTGACTTAAGATCTGTGATTTATCGCGACATTCGTACAAAAATTAGTCTGCATTCCTTTACAAACTACAAGTTATACTTGAATGACTTCATTATATGACCTATTTAAAAATAAACAGTTATTCTCGATAAAAGTATGGCTTCCTAGTATTCACAGTTGTTACTCAGTATTATGTTTTCATTAACACATAAAGTATGCAAAACAGGCAGCAAAAACTAAATATCTTGACGGTTCCAAGTACCAATATCTTTCATCCCTTTTTACAATGAAATACGCTATGAATGTGCAAATAATAAGCACTTTAATCGTTACTATCTCATTTAAAACACGTTTTAAAGGGTAAGCATGGGACCCAGGACATAAAAGCGAAGCAATTTGTGCTGCAAGTAACGCTTGCAATTTACTTAATATCCAAACCAATTACACTGGCACTTAATTAGCGGTTCCAGACGTGAACTTTAATACATATTTGTTCATTCTTGGAATCGAACACACTTGCCTTACATGTGTGATCCTTTTAACAGGGAAGGACTGTATTATCTTAAGTAAGTATCTATTTATTTCAACTAGACCTTTACGAGGATAGAATTGAGCACAAGGGTTTTAAACCTGCAAAAATGCGGTTTAAATAACAAGCACACAGAACAATGGAGATAAAATAAAAGAGTGCGGATGTAAGAGGATATTTTTGGCGCATTTCCGTCCAATGAGACTGTATTTTTCGGATTCCAGTCGCGGGAGACTCTCAACAAGTTTCCCCTCTCGTCCATAAGCGTTGAAAAGCGATTCGTGGGGAAATGTGGACCCCGCATACCTTCCGTAACGCCGGCAGCGATATTGCGCGATGAGGTTGAACAAAGAACCAAATTGAGTACAAATAATCCGCTTACCATCCTATAATCTGTTTATAAATATTACATTAATAATGCAATCTTGTTTATTAAGATCGCAAAATCTAATTTAAAACAGGACACGGCTGGGAATTTGAAAGGTGAAGCATTTAAGTTATTATACGCCAAAAATAATCGTGAAACGAGTTTCAATCAAAATATAGCTTTTGAAATGTTTTATAAGATGATTTTAATAGATCTTGTCTGATAGAAAACCAGTCTGCGTCTGAGAGCGGTTTTAAAAGACAGAAGAAAAATTGAAACATATTCATATTCTGTGATTAATCAAAAACGAATGATATTCATATCTTATATGAGAAACCTTTAGTTCTTTATTATCTTTTCATAAAATTGAAAAATGTATTGTTTTAAATTATTTGGTCCTTCATTTCATTTCCATAACAATTTAAATGACTATGTAAATTAAAACAGAATCCTTGTGAATAACAATAGGATATTCAATTTAATTGCTAGCGACAATTGTGATAATCTTTTTGTTCAATAAATAATATATGCGTACATGATATTATAAAATTATTTCTCACTGCTATTTCTGGGCGGCCCTTAGCAACACATAATTAAAAGCAATTGAATTACTAGTAGTTGGGATGCTTAAGCAACTAAATGAATTGCTCGTAGACTATAAATTTACAGTTTAACTAACATCATGACCTTTGTTTTTTGTACTAGGACTTGAAACGAAATTACTATGAATAAGAAACTAGGTACTTCAATAAAAATAAAGTAAGTACGAAGTTCCTTATCTTTTACTACCGTTTATTATTCAACTAGGTAGTTAATTGGCTTGCTACATAAGTCGCCAGTAAATAAATAAGTGCCACTCTATTAAAGATTACCAATTCTACTGAAATAGGTACTAGGGCTTCATGAAGTACTAGAAGGTATTGCGGAGCGGAAATATCTCTCTGTGTAGTTTACTCGTTTACGCCAATATATAGAGTGTGTAAGCGTATCGTAAGTACAATGAACATAGTTTACTGGGTATGGTATGTATAATCATTTTAATAGTACTGTA